TCCTCGCAGCAACACAAGCAGGGCAGGGGATTCCAGTTTGCTGAAGGAGCTGAGGATGCCCCCGGCCACGACCTGGCACAGCCCTCCCTTCCCCTGCGGCGGGGTGACAGCAGCTCTGTGAGGGCTGACCCTGCTTCTGGGTTGGGAGGGTTCGTGTTGCCCCTCGGAGGTTTCAGCCCTGCGCTCGGTTCCTGCTGTGGAACAGCAGCGTGGTGTCTGGCGGGGGGTCCCCTCACCTTGCCCCTGCGAGCAACTGCCTGCGACTGGAGCTGGCTACGAGGAGGCTTTCTGAAATAGCGGTCTTGGTGTGGGAGCCCCGGCGAGCAAACCCTGCTTCTGGGTTGGGAGGGTTCGTGTTGCCCCTCGGAGGTTTCAGCCCTGCGCTCGGTTCCTGCTGTGGAACAGCAGCGTGGTGTCTGGCGGGGGGTCCCCTCACCTTGCCCCTGCGAGCAACTGCCTGCGACTGGAGCTGGCTACGAGGAGGCTTTCTGAAATAGCGGTCTTGGTGTGGGAGCCCCGGCGAGCAAGGGAGCGCAGCGCTCAGTTGCATCTGGCCTTCGCTGAAGCCGTTCTGTGCCAGACAGACCTGGCTGGCAGCCCCCAGCTCGTGTCGAGTCCTCGCTGCGCTGTGCACTGCTTGTTACCCTTCCTGAGCAGCACGTGTGCCGGGCTGGCACGCGGGACCCGCTCTGCTCCCACACCAGCCTCTGGTGATGTTTTTCACTTCGCCTGATGCAGCTGGGCTGGCTGAGTCACTTCCCCGGGAGCTTGCTGGCAGTGGGCCTCGGAGCCTGCCCAGACGGGGTCCGGGTGCCACGAGGAGGTGCGGAGGCCTGGCTAGAGCAGGGGCAGAAGCGAGATCTGGCTGCATTCACCTGGCCTCTGTTGCCTGCTCTGCTCCCCCCCCAGCCTCTGGTGATGTTTTTCACTTCGCCTGATGCAGCTGGGCTGGCTGAGTCACTTCCCCGGGAGCTTGCTGGCAGTGGGCCTCGGAGCCTGCCCAGACGGGGTCCGGGTGCCACGAGGAGGTGCGGAGGCCTGGCTAGAGCAGGGGCAGAAGCGAGATCTGGCTGCATTCACCTGGCCTCTGTTGCATCCCAGCCTTTCCCTGGCTTGTGTCTGCACAAGCTTGGCCCCTCCCGTG